ATAAGCCCTGTATTTGGCCTCACTACTTTTTTGCTTCCTTTGCTAGTTTATTTTTCTCAAAATTTTTCTCATTGCTATCTCTTAATCTTTATATAGTGTTCTCTTCGCTCTAATTACTATTTGAACTATCATCCACTTTCTATAATGAACAATCTTTCACCTCTAGATTTTTAAGGATCTTTTTAGCCGCTTGTTTGATACATCAAGACATATTGAAAAAATACAAGCCTATATAATAGACCGGTACATACATTACAGTAGTCACATTTAGAATAACATCACATAATAATACATGATCACAAGAACATCGGAAGCTAGTGTGCAGCAAGAGAAAATATACAACATAATAAGTACCCAACAGAAGCAAATACATAATACTTGATCAAGTCTCACGAATATACTGAAATGAGAAAAATATATTGCAAGTCTGATATTGGATGTTCAACAGAAAATACAACCCAAATACATAATAAAACTGCTCAGCTATAACATATTTATTGTATTAACGCCTGTGAATATAAGTACATAATAGTTACTTCATAAGAAGGGAGATAATGACATAGACTGAGTAAATACATTAGATACTGGGGAATAGATTGATGGATAGATAGATACTCGAGAACTCTCGAAGAAAGTCATCACTGGTACTTGGTATCACTTGACTTTGGGTGTCTGTCAGCACAGGGGATGTGCCTGGCTTTGGCACCGATGTGCAAACTAGGATGGTAAAAAAGCTATCTAGCAAGTGTTAAAATGAACGAAGGAAGTGTGTGTACATGTAACATGTATCATGGATACATGACTGATATAATCATAAGAAAGACTACGTAACAGTAACATCTTACTTCATGATCAGGAAACATGCATCATAGTACTGAACTGGGACAAAAAACATGTAAACAACAAATAAACTACACCTGATAAGCAACAACATCATCATCACAAGCAACGTTTTAAATATCGGCTGATAAACCTATCGGTTTTGGGGGTCTTCAGTTATGATAAGTTTGATTCTAAACCGGTTATCGTTTTTGAAAGTTTATCGCCGATAATGCAGTGATAAAGTGAGTTATTGGCCGATATTATCGGCCCAAAAATCAAATTATCGGCCTTTGGTTTGGTTTTGATTTTGGGCAACGGACTATTCAATGGACTTTAAACCCGACCCGATCCGATTTTTTGCCATTGGTTAGTAATTCTAAAACATAATTATTTATATTTTGGTATGTTTATATTTTATTAGGTATGATTAGATTAGATTTTAGAATACTACATTATGTATATGACCATCCGGTAATATCACTCTGATAAATACTATTTATCTCCGATATATCATTGATATCCTCTATTTGATGAATTTGCCCGTCTGATAATCCCCCAAAACCGATATTTAAGCCCTTGATCATAAGTAGGAGTGCGCCTAGACCCTCAAGTGCGATTCATAAGATAGTGTGTGTTAACTATCTTACTTTTAACTTGGTCTTGTTTGGGAAAACTCTCATTAGCTAATGTGTGTTTGGAATGCCCACATGGAACTTGATCTTGATTAATATATTGTCTTGGTTTTTGTGCACGGGAACTCCTTCATGCGCTAGCGCTCAAACACAACATCGGGCCACACATTCCCTAAGAGATATTCAATTTCCCTCGATAATAACCCACCGAACTTTTTCATTACATGACTATACATGATATGTTGTACATTAAGCTTGAATAGCTTAATCCATAGAGAACATACATCTCGTGGGTGCCCTCTTCGTCTGGGTTTTCAAAGCTATGAAACATGCTTGTCAAATATAAAACGTAAGTCATTCATGACTTGATATGCGCAGATACTTGATCTAGGTTCTTACTTAGTTTATCATACATACTATTTGGGTCAAGTCTCATGAATAATGTATCGAACAAATTAAAATTCCAAGGTGAGCCCTAGGCCAACATGCATAAATGTTCGTGGATTCTAAATCAAACATCGCTTAACAAAGATACAACTATGTAACATTGTAGCAACAATTATCATGATTTGAATCTAAATATGGATAATGGCATAACTTGCATTAACCGAAACATAGAAGCAAATAACTCTACTTTGTCAACTACTTTCCATTAAGATGGCAAGGACAAGTGATACTACATCTCTGGCATCACAAGGTACACTAATGAAAGCAAAAGAACCCCGAAAAAAACCTTAATCAAATCCAAAATCGAAACTCAAACAGATCTGTTTTTGGGACTGACCGCATGCGCTCACTAGTTGGCACGTGTGCTGCCCTAGCTGCTATGTTAGATTAGTATCTCGTGGTCAACTCTAAGTCAAACTGAGATCAACTGAAAAACCCTGTTTGCATGCACTCTGGTGCACTGAGCGCATGCTGAAACATTGTAATCATTTTATCTCGTAGACTTTTCCTTTGAGTGCGTGCATTATTGATATGGTGACTGTATGCACTGATATGGTGAGCGCGTGTCCTGGGAATCCACGAGTTTTAAAACGTTTTCAATCCAAATCTTCGTCATGATTAAACTATATCCAAATCTACTTTCTACCCATGATTTCTAACATCAAGGAGAAGCTATACAACAAGTTGCAACCAAAATAACCAAGCATGTCAAATTCCGCCATCAGAGAGCTCAAGCTCACATTCCGACCAAATATGGGGACAACCCCTTCTAAATCTTAATCTTCCACATACAAATCAATCAATAGCATCTAGAGAGCAATACCCACATAAAAATCCATGAAAATACATCAAACCTCATGGATATGCAATTATGCATTATCTCTACAATCTACAACAATGGGTCCTTACCCTTGAAAGAGATTGTGGGGATGAAACCCCTCTCTTAGGGAGATCCTACACTTAATGAAAAGCCACAAATTTGAAAATAACCCAAATCAAACGTTTCTTAGTTCAAAAGAAACAGGAGATCAAAATCTCAAAACCCTATAAATTGAAATTGAAGTTTGACATAAACTAGATTTAGCAAGAGAAAGCACTTACCTTGGAATGATGAAGCTCTCTCTCTTGCCTCCAAAAACTTCTCTAATCTTTTAGCCCTAACTAATTTTGGGAGAGGAATGAAGTTTTTATATGAAGGATTTTGCTAATGGTTTGGGTGTAATGGGTCTCTATTCAAATGGTTTCAACCCATTAAGCTTAGCTTGTCATATAGGTCCATTAACACCATTAACCTCCCTCTTAATGCCCAAAACATTATGGAAAATCACAATGAAACTCATGAAAACCACATGAAGCTGAATGTTATGGTGACAAGTGTCGTGATCTCGAGACTTGATGTAATCTAATGGTCCAAACTCTCTTGATCTAGATTGACGGTAAAAAATTGCGCCCCGTTCGGGGTAGGACTCTAACACATACTATTCTATCAGTCTCGTTCATATTCCAAATATCTACCTTTAATATTATCTTTAAGATGCATCAAAATCTGTCAGTGTTAGTTCCTGCATTTAGTTCTAGTTTCTTGTATATATTAGTATAAGTTTGCAAACTTTGCATATTTTCCTATTTACTCTTCTAATAAGGAAAAAGTCTATTTGGCTACAGTTTAATCCACTTTTAGAGGTTATCAAGTGTTCACCTCTTCTTTATGTCTTTGCTATTTTAAGATCACAAGGCATTGCAAAATTTGAAACCATATCATATTCCATTATGCCAAAACTCTGCTTATGACGGATTATGGATGGACTAAGTAATCATGTGACAATGACAGATGTGGATACTACTTTGATTGAGATTATATTTGAGTTGCAATACTTATCGAAATATTTATCCCTTTATATGTATATATATACACACACGAGCGCGTGCGCGTAGTAGGGAGTGATGAGTCAGGCCACTACTTGATACGACCTGACTCTTATATAGGAGTATCTGGATCAGGGTGTCACATTTATTGATTACATTTTTTTTAAGCATAGTTTGTATGATGGATAAAAGTTGGGGATAATTACAATTTGGGGAAAGGGACGAATGGTAAAATAGCAATTATGATGATTTGGAGTAATTTTAGAAATAGCCAGGATGTGAGAGGTATATATGGATACATTTATTATTTTATTTTGCGGTATACTCCTATCAATATTTAGCTCCTCATAAAGTCGTTAGCTAGGGTGCATTGACTAGTTTGGTTGGGATTAGCATTCTTAAAATCCAGTACAATACGAAGTATCAGTGTGGACTGATATTTCGAACATTGTCTTTTTATTTTCTTCTCCTCATATTCAGTTTCTGTTTTTTTATCCCTATTTTTACTGTGTTATCGTCTCCTGATCTTTTCATTTGTAGTATACAGAGTAGAAGGAGTGCAAGTGCCAGAGCTCTTTTGCTATACAACAATGTTTGACACTTTTAATTTAGCAGTCTGCTTTGTAATTTATCCATATGTAATTAGCTTAGTTCTTTTTGATTTGGGGTAATTTTAGAAATATCTATGTTCTGAGAGGTATGTATGGCATGCTTTTTTATTGTCTGTGATATAGCTCTATCCATCTTTAGATCCTCATAAAGTGGTTATTTGCCAATGTGGAGTGTATTGACCAGTTTCGGTAGAGATCAACCAGTTTCGATAGAGATCAACATACTTAAAATTCAGTACAGTACGAAGTATCAGTATTGCCCGATACTTCAAACATTGTCCTTTTATTTTCTTCTTCATGATTCTGTTTTCTGTTTTTCATCCCTTTTTTTTACTGTGTTATCATCTCCTGATCTTTTCAGTTATAGTAAAATATAGAGCAAAAAAAGTGTTGAGTGCTAGCACTATTTGGCTATACTATCGTGTTTCAAACTCTTAAATTTACCAGTCTGTTTTGTATTTTGTTCATGTAATATTAGCTTTACTCTATTTGGACCTACCAATTTTTTTGTTTGTCTCTATAGTTCTTTAGTTAGATATCTCCAAACTGCTCAAGCCATATGGCTGTTGACGCAATTTCATTTATCGAGTTAAATGGGCGTTCTTTTCAATCTTTCTTGCAGGTTCAGGAGACTGAGTTCCCCTCACGAGTTTATGCTGTTCACTGTATGTTTTTTCCCACTCGTTTCGGAAGCTCATGTGGTGCTCGCTTGATGGCGTGATGATGTAAAATTTTGTAGTATCATGATGTAAAGCCATGAGTAATGCAGATGTGAAGACTTAACCTTTTTGTGAATATTGCTTGTACACATACGTCTGCGGGGTCGTTGCTTAAGGTTTGTACAAAAGGCAAGAAAGGCAGATATCGGTTGTAGTCTTTTTTCCCCCCACTTTAGATAGAAAGCCATGAGCAGTGCACATAATAGAAAGCCGTTCACATGTTTGGTTGTAAACTGGATGCGTGCATGATTATATCTTCAGGGTTGTTGTGAAGGGGACACCTACCCATGTTTTCATTCATGGGCTTGCGAGAAACAAAACTAGCGAGATTGCTCAGTGGTAAACTGGTAATGGAGTAGGGTTAGGGGTATTTACTGTTTGGGGCCATTATTTTGATAAATGTAAGAAAACTCCCCGTGTGAAAAAAAAAGTTTGCTGCAAAAATAAATTGCAGCGAATGTTGCATGCATCATTTGGGGGTAGGAAATCAACTTCAAATGCATTATTTGAATATTAGCAAATTATATTGTAGGAAATGTATTTTACTAAAAATTTCAATATTTGGGTGTAGATGGTTTTCTTATTTGAATTTTAAAAAAATATTTTTTGGATGATGTGGAACACTTTTATAAGTATGCACCTTTTCCTCGCAAACGCAAGCCTATTTATATTTCCTAATTATCATATTGCAAATCAAATTATATATTTAAAAATCCGATTGCTCTATTTACTCTTGTAACTCTATTTCCATCGAGTCAAAGAGTCGCGAGCAATGCTTATTCCCATTTAAGCTTTGTTTGGTTAGAGTTTATCCAAGCCTTTATTGATACACACGGATAAAGATCTACGATCAGACTGTTGCTACTCGGAATATTTTACTAATAAGCAAGGGTTTCAATTCAAGTTTCAAAATTATATTAATAAATCAACATCTCGCAAGATTGGATTTTTATACTGATTAATTGATCTCATTTGCATATAATATCATGATGAATTGTAGATTGGTAATCTATTTAGATCATGATAGTCTTAGTTTTCATCTTATCACTTTGTTTCATAATAACTTAAAATTAGTCTTAAATCATTATAATTAATATTTTAACATGTAAATTCTAGTCATCCCTAGTAGAATATATTATTTTTTTTGTATATAGTTAACATGGAATAGAGTAAAGGATGGCTATAAATTGAATGTAAATTAAGGATTATTTACATCCTCATACCTATGTGAGACCGGGGGGTGATTAGGGTCTTATGCTAATCTAATCCGATTTTATGCCAATTAAAGCTTATTAACAAATTATCCTAGCAAGTATGAAATACAACAAGATATATGAGCTAGGATAAGCAATATGAACAAAGAGATATATCATAGCAAAGAGATATACTATGAGATATATGTAAGGATATACAAATTAACACAAGGGTGAAATAAACACAAACAAAATAGTGGATGATATAAATAATGAGCAATGGACAATGGCGACAAGAAATATAAACATAAGAGAAGTGCGCCAAAGCAAACTTAAACACACGATATGATCACGGAGTTCGGACCTTCCGTCCTACGTCTCCGCTCCCCACTCCCGGGTAGAAATCCACTATCACAACCAGGTTTTCTACGATCACCCGAATAACGTTTACACCTCACAGTATCGGTTTTCAACGCTCACCGATCAACGATCACAATCTCACAATGTAACTACACTCCACACCCTCTAAGTGTTGGTCTCTAGCCCGTGTCCTTCCTCAAGTGCTAGGATACAACCTCTCCCTAGGTTCGTCAACCGACGTCACTCCTCTTGGAAGCGACCACACACTCCTCTCGGTGTACTAGTGTATTACAAAGTGAATCCTCACAATTAAAGCTCACAAATCAAATGATTGTTCTCTAAACAATGTGAGAACTCAATTAAGCACAACTCTTAGTCACAAACCCACAACCCTAAATTATACTATGAATGTAAATACAATAATCTCAATAGACTCAATTTAATCTAGCAAAATAAATATGATAAGTTAAGCATAAATAAGCTAGATAAAGAGTTTAAGAAAACTTCTCTAAAACAAGAGTGGAGGGATGTAGATTGAAGCCCAAACAAGATTGATGATCTCCTCAAACTCTTGTGAAATTCTCTTCACAAACAAACTCTTAACTCACACTTAAACAAAACTTAAACTCTTGTAAAAACTTGTTTAAAACATCTTGGATGATTTTGGTAGTTGGGGTTTGAGGAGTTCATATAGGAAGAGAAACCAATAGCAAAACCCCCAACCAAATCCCCCAAAAACCCAGAAAAAGATTTTTCAGATTCTGTACAAAAAGAGCCGTTGGGCATACGGCGGTCGACCGTGAAATTCTCGCGGTCGACCGCGAGCCATGTTAGAGACTGAGAAAATTTTCAGAAACATCTGCGGTCGACCGTGGGAATTTTCAGCTTGACGGTCGACCGTCACGATCGACCGCGAAAGTCTCTGCTGGCTCCACAGGGTAAATCAAAGGCGCGGTCGACCGTGGCGGTCGATCGTAAACTGACATATAAGAAAACAGGTTTGAAAGTTAATTTTCTGATTTTAAAACCACGTTTAAAATATCAAATAAATTCCAAAAATTATAAAAATTTGGGAAATGATTGTAGACATGATAATACACAAGCTACAAAAACTGGTTTTCAGAAAGGACCTCCCGAATGAAAAATATCATCATTTTGCAAAATAGTCCAAAACATAAAAATGTGAACATATAAGTTTTGATATTTTAGCTTAACCATGCTTTGAAACAATACAAAATGATTTTATAGACTTGAAGAAAGATGTAAACTATTGTTATGAAGTCTATAAACAATGAATATAGTATTTTATCAAATACAATAGCATATGAAACATATGAGTATGAATATGAATATATATTTGTTTCATATTTATGAAATTAAACCAAACTAACTTATCCACATAAAAACAAACATGTATGAATACAAATATTTATTTATATGCTTGTAAAAACTTTGTTTGTGGATAAACCAAAATCCAAAATGTGTACATATATATATATAACTATATATATATATACATAGAAACCAATAAAATGTGTGTGTATATGATATTGAGCTTAAAGTACTTAACACACATAATATAAACTCCTAAACTAAATTACCCAAGCTTGTGATCTTCAACGAAGCTCTATCTTGGTACACTTGCGGATGGAGCTTGAACTTGAATCTTTAACTTTGAATTGCGTAGGCTTCACTCCACAATTCCGCCAACCTCCATTGGAGATGATCGTGAATGCGCAATTCCATCCATCCTCCAACACGTTGTTTGCCTAGAATAAATACGAAAACACAAATACTAGACAAACAATATTAGAAGTAAATTATTTGTTAAACATCATCAAAACAAGAAGGCCAACAACCTATGTGGTATGGTGTAATTACACATGCGACCCTGAGATTTATGTATTTATACAGGTAATTCTGAGAGATTACCGACTAAAGCTATACGAGTAACCCTGAGTAACCTTAAGATTACTTTCATTAGGGTTGCCCATGTAGTTTTATTCAGTAATCTCAGAGTTATCTGTATAGATACACATACTACAGGGTCATCCATGTAATTACACTGTATCATAAGATACTAGAATGCAAATAATCCTAATTTAAGAATACTGATTATTCGAAGGGCATATATGAGTGGAAAGCTCCCATTTTTTTGGATTTTTTATATCAGTCACTTACATCTTTCATATTATGAAATTAGTCCCTGGAATCATCAAGTTATTGTTATCTCCCTTGATTCTTAAGATATTTAGAAACTGATCCCCCAAATGATTGAAATCTCCAATTGGTCTTCCATTTGGTAAGTTGTTCCAAATTTAACCTCTAATTGTACTTCTACTCTTTATTGGAAGGACTACTTTTAAAATAACTTAAGAATTGAGAAATCTAACAACAGTGTCAATGATTTTAGGACTAATTTCTAACTATAAAAATTGAGACCTAATAGCAATTTCAATGATATTTAATTGGCGCATTTGGAAAAGAGTTGCTCAAGTTTGAGAGTACTTTAACCTAGGACGAGTCTAGGATTGTTCGGCTGGGGGGCTCAATGTTGTGGATGGACAAAAAAAGTCATAAATTGCTATCAATTAAATCATATATCATTTTGTTGATTTCATTCCGCTATCATAAAAATTACTTTTGTGGTTGTGAAAATCCTTCACGGCCTTGTCTTATCAATTCAAATAGGAATAGATGGTATCGATTGAAATAATTGGACCCTCTAATTACCATTTAATTGGAAAGAATCCAAATCTAAATATTTTTCTTATTCGTATATAGTGTAAGATTTTTGGAAAAAAATAGACCATATTCTTATTATCACTCTTATGTTAGTGAGTACAAGAATTTAGAACGGATTATGAATAGAGTTAATTAATGTATACATTTTAATAGTCCAAGAGATATACATATAACATTTTTTTTTCTTTTTATAAATTTTAATTAAATTTAGTAGAAAATGAAGTTTTTCAATATTATTCCTTAAATATTTCTATATTCAAACATTAGTCCTCAAATCATTGAAACTGTTAATAGCTTACCCATTTATTTCAAAAATAGTCCCTTGAACTATTAAAGTTGCTATTAGGTACCCTAATTCTCGTAAGTTGGTACAAATCAATCCCTCCAATATAGAGTAGCATAGCAAGAGATAGGAAATGTGGTACCTCATAGCAATTTCAATAATTTGAAGGAGTAGTTTTAAAATATTAATGATAGGGGAACTAATAATGACAAAAGCCCTACATATCTAATATTTTATGGGATTTTCTAGAAAAAAATATGCTAAATTACTAAATTGGTATATTTTGTGGACCTCTCTTACCTTCTTATTCAGACGACCTTTTGGTATATTCTGTTTTGTTTAAAATATTAATTTGAGAAATTGATTTAAATTTAGGGTTTACAGTTAACCGAATTCGGGTTTTTTAAGTAATTGACTTTTTTTGAAAAAATTATATCTTTTAAACCATTTCTCTTGGGATTTATTTGCAAGATGGGTGGGGTAATCAATGGTTAAATTCAGCCATGGAGGCAACTTTGATTATCATGTGTCTTCTGATAATGTTGGGATGATGTTGATGTTGAATTCTTACAAGGAGAGCATATTTTTATATCCTTTATGAGAGGTGTAATTGGACAAGTTGGCTATCAGAATGTGGGGTCAGTGTGGTTTGCTATATCAAGTGTGGGAGTGGGAAATGGTGGATTGAAGCCTCTACATACTCAATTTGATTTGAATTTGATGTTAGTGCATGCTCGTAGGCATAGAACAATTGAAGTGCTTGTAGATCATTTTTTTGATGAAGCTGATGCAA